CTTGAGGGGCCCCGGGACTGCGAGCTGCCAGGGACAGAGTGCACACGTGTGCGTGGGGCCGCGTGCCAATAAAGCTTTATTCGTACAAGGACACTGGCCAACTGGCCTGCCAGCTGCAGGTGTGTGCGAAAAGAAAGGCAGCCTCTGGCTGGGAAGAGCAGGGAAGACGGGTGACACGACATGTGAGTACAAGAGCCACGGAGGTGAGGAGCGATCTGCCCCGGGCGTCCCGGGTGCTGACAGGAGAGCCGCTCCGGACTGTGCCCCGCTCAGGAAGGAGAGACGCAGCACAGCACCGCCCGGACGCGCCACCCCAGGACAGGCACGGGGGCACAAACGAGCCGGCCACACCGGGAAACTGCACGCCAGGCGCACCAGCTACTCAGAAGGCTGAGGCAGGAGGAAGTCTGGGCCCAGCCGGGTAAGGTAGCAAGACCCTGTCTCAAAAGGATAAGGCCCGGGGCGTGGCCCCAGCTCTGCCCGAAACAAAGCAAGCTAAACCGCAGTGGCCACGTGGCAGAGGTTCAAAGAGCAGGTCCCAGGAGGACAGCGCACAGGAGCCGGGCCGGCAGCGTGGGAGAACGCTCAGGCTCTGAGGCCCAGGGGCCCCTCCTCAGGAAGCGAGGTGCCAGGCCCTGCATGCACCACATCCCCTCTGCACACGTAGGGCAGCTGAGGGTCACCGCCCAGGAGCGCGGCACACATTCATCACGCCACTCTGAACAGCGCAAAACTGAAAACTCGCAGACTGTTTCTTTCGGGGATTTTCCATCTGGTACTCTGGAACTGCAGTTAAGCATGGGCAAGTGACGCTACAGTAATCAAAGCCGGGGACCGGGAGCCGGCCACGAACCATCAGCGGGGGACCGCGGGGCCGCCCTCACCTGCTGTGCGTTCTGAAGCTGGGTCTGGGAGCAGGACATCTCCCAAGCAGCCAGGTCAGCAAGACTTGGGGACCCCAACCCTGGACACCACCGCCCGACATGGGGGTGGGGGTGAGCAGCAGCACAGCCCATCGTCCCAATGCTTAAGGAGGCCGAGGCAGGAAGATTTCAAGTCCAAGCCCAACCTGGGCAACTTGGAGACTTAGTAAGACTCTGTCTCAAAAAATAAAAAGGGCTGAGGGCGCAGCTCAGAGTGAAGACCCTGGGCTCAGTCTCCATTTACTGAAAGAAAAAAATGGGAAAAGTGGAAGGAGTGGAAGGCAGGCAGCAGTGGCTGGGCCGGACGTGTCCTCCCAGAGAGGCAGGAGGGCCAGGCCACACTGCTCCACTGCAGGGCACCCAGTGGAGGTGTAGCTCCCGGCTCTACGCTGCTGTGTGACACTGCAGCCAGCTCTGCAGGCATCTGGTCCTGCCTGGGGCCCCTCACCCCGAGACACCTCAGCGGGGACTGGCCACGCCTGGGAACAGGACAGAGACCCGACCCGGCTCTGGGGTCAGAGTGCGGCCTCAGTTTCCCCCATGCTGGGTGAAGCGGTCAGTCTGCCCACATCAGGACAGGCGAGGAGGAGCTCGGCCACCTCATGCCGCGTCCCTCACCCTGCGGGGAGTGGGAGTGTCAGGTGACCCGCCAGCCTGGCCCTTCCCGGCCACCCCGTCTCTGCGTGCTCCTCAGCATCCCATCACCACAGCCTCCTCTCCTGGGAACAGAGGGCGGGAGCTGGCATCCACCTCGCCTTTCATTTCTGCTTTCTCTGCTTTCGGAATGAAGTCCGCCCTTGGGCGGTGCGGCAGGGCCCAGGCCCTGACCCCGCCTGCCCCGCCTGGCCCAGCCACCGGGCTCCAGGGCCACCCCAGGCACAGCCACAGGGAGCCCACGCACAGAAAGCACCCCGCTGCCCGGCCAATCAGATAGCACAGGGTCCGATGCCACTCACGTCCGGAGGTGAGCGGCTCGGGCTTCTGCCCCAGGCTAAGTCCTGCAGGTCGCGTCAGCTGACCAGGCCTGCTCTCCACAGTGCCCTTCCTGTTGTTTTCTGGTCAGAATTGCACGGCGAGGCTGCAACCCCGGGGGGAGGGGTTGCCCAGAGATGCCCTGACCTCAAACACCCAACTTCTCCTTTTGGGGAGCAGAGCAGAAGTCCCGGATGGTGCCACTGCGGCCCAGGATGTGCGCAAAGGCAGTGAGCCCACTTACAGGGACTTGTGCACCCCAGAGAGTTACATCTGCATCGTGACCCCCGACACAGGGTCTTTGTGGGTGTAAAGAAGACCAGGACTCAGCTGGTGTGGGGGTGCACGCCTGCCTCCCAGCACTGAGGCAGGGCACTGCCGTGAGTTCCAGGCCAGCCTGGACTGCGGACTGAGGCCCTGTCTCCAACAATCCGAACACACGAAAGAAAGACAGAGAAAGATCAAGATCTAAGAAGGGTGTCCCAAGATTCAGGGTACACTCCGAGGGGACAGAACTTAGGATGACATCTAGACTCTCTGTCCTGATCTGGGCCCTAAAGGGACAGGGAAGGTGGCCTGTGAGTGACGCATCCCCCAGCCAGGGACACCAAGATCTCCCCACCTGTCTGGAAGCCAGGGAGGCCTGGGACGGAGCTGCCCTCCCAGCCTCCCAGCTTCCGGAGGAACCAGCCCTGCACGCTTGCCTTGGGGCAGGCATGAGAATAAACCCCACAATCCTCCTGCCTGAGGGTGGAGCTGCCCTGTGGCCTGGGAGAGAAGGAAAAAGCCCCATCCCAGGGCCTGGGGCTGCTGTGGTTTTCATGCCCAGGGCCTGCCACCCACCTGGGTCTCTCAGAGGGACCAGTCGAGGGTGGCAGTTCTCATGTAGGGGAGCCAGTCCTGGGGACATCAGCGGTGTCTGGGGACACCTGGGGTTGTCACATGGGTGTGGGGACAGTGCCGCTGCAGGGAAGGGTCGGCTGCACAGTTCAGTGGAGCCCACAGCGAGCAGCTCAGCTTCAAGCCCAAACCCTTCCCAACAGTCCTGCAGATGAGCGTGCTGGCCCACACCTGTCATCCCACTATTTGGGAGGCTGAGGCAGGAGGATCACCGTGAGTTCAAGGTTAGCCTGGGCTACACAGCAGGACCCTGGCTCAATAAAATGCAAAAAACAAAAACAAAAAACACCCCCCCAAAGTTGCCCCGGGAAGCATTTTCCCACTGGGATGTGCGGCTGGCTCATGCTGGGAGTAGAAGCCGGAGTGGACACCACTCACGCCCTGGCGACAGCCCGGGAAGCCTGGCCCTGCTGGCTCGGATGGGCCTCGCAGCCAACTCAGGCATGGCGGTGCCTCATGGAGCTGACAAGGGCTAAGAGGTATAGGGGACCGAGGGCCACCAGGGCCAGGGCTGGGGGATGGACGCCGTGCACTCCCTGGGGTCCCCCTGCAGGCTGGCCAACATCCCTGCAAAAGTGGAGCTGGGACCTCACTAGGTGGGAGCTCGCGGGCCACCAGGGCTGGGTGCCAGGGCCCAGGTCGGCACCTGCCTGTCCACGCAGGGCCGGAACCTGGGGCGCCCCCACAGGCCACGCCCCAGCCCGTGCTGCTACTGCTGCCTCACAGAGCCGGGTCTGCCTCGCTGGGAGTCTCCAGGCTATGGGGACAGGGCCTTGGGGACCTGCGGCCTCTCCTAGCTCTGCTTCCCAGCCGCCATACAGCTCGCCATGGAGACAGCACCGTCCAGGGTGGGCCCAAACCTCCCACACTGAGCCAAGACGACCCGCCCTCCCCGGCTGCCTTGCTCAGGGACTCGTTCAGCAAGGGGATGTGGGCTGGCAGCTTGGCGACTCCTGGCGCCACACCCCAACACCGCCTCCCTCCAGCACGGGAAGCCGGGGGCAGATAAGGACCCTGGCGGCCCTGGGTGGAGGAGAGGGCAGCCAGGAGCTTCACTGTGCTTCCCCACCGCGACCTGCACACCCCGACTACCAATGCCCTGGCTCTGGGTTTCTGGCTGGAGCACAGTGATGCGTGGGACAGGGGCCCCAAGCTGCCTGCGGGGTGCTCAGGGGTTTCAGAGTTGACGCCCAGCATGACCCTGGCCTGGTCCCTTCTTCCAGGAGAAGCGGAAAGAGGCTGCATACCAGGTGCAGTGCAGGGCCCTGGGTGACTTCAGCAAGGGAGGGCGCCAAACCCACGCGGCAGGTGCTGACAGCTTATGGCTTTGGCGGCTGCACAGCGGGCCTCGGCCAGGGGACAGTGAAAAGTCAGGGGTTGTGGTTCTGGGGAGACCTGGGCCCACCTGCTCACCACTCCGGCCCTCCGTAGTGCACGGTGTCACGGGCCCATGGGGCAGGGGCTGCCCCACACCGCGAGTGTCCCTGGTGTACAAGGCGGGTCCAGGTCACCTGTGGGCACCAAGCCCGTGGGTGCTCAGGTACCTTCTGTCAGAGGGTGCAGTGCTGGCATAGAGCCCGGCACGGCCTCCTGCAGCCCAGTGGCCTTCATCAGGTGGTCTGGACACCCCGGGCAGTGTAAACGCTGTCACACAGCTGTCACACTGCACAGGTTAGACTCAGGCGAGAAAGTCGTATACACGCATTCAGGGCAGATCGACTGCTTCTCTGTATATAGCTCTCACTCGTGGCTGGCTGAGTCCACAGACCAATACCGTAACAGAGTATGACACCGCAGTAAAAAAGATCTCGAGTCTCAAAAAGACACAGAGGGGCTGCAAATGCCCACTGCTGCGAGAGAGCAGCCGGGCTGAGAGGCGACAAGCTTAGTTTTCTGCCTGCAGCACTGGGCAGGGAGCCCAGGGCCTCCTGCCTGCTGGCTGAGAACAGGCTACATACTGTGGGACAGAACCTGAGCTTCCCATGTGCCAGGGGAGTGCTCCCTCACTGAGCCACACCCGGAGCACCAAGACCTGCACCTGAGGCTGAGGCAGGAGGATCGCCAAGCTCCAGCCCAGCAGCATGGGCAAGGTCTCGAGACCGTTTCAAAGCAAAAAAAAAACTGCCAAAAGGCACCGCGGATGTGATGCGGCAATGGCCAGAGGCACAAACACGCCCGCCACCGCCCAGGCTGCCGCGCACTCACCTCCAGCACCGGCCCGGCACCCAGGATGGTCCTCTCCACGCCGCTGGCGTAGCCCTTCTGGCTGAGGGCTGTGAGGCAGTGGATGAGGAAGTTGGTGCTCTGCGTCTTGCCCGAGCCGCTCTCGCCCGAGATGACGATGCACTGGTTCACGCGCTTGCGCAGCATGGCGTAGTAGGCCACGTCGGCCAGGGCGAACACATGCGGCTCCAGCTTGCCCAGCCGCTGGTTTGTGTAGAGCGTCACGTACTTGGGGTTGTAGATGGGCAGGAACTTGAAGGGGTTGACGGCCACCAGGATGCTGCCGGCGTAGGTGTAGATCTTCTGCTGCAGGAAGCGGCACTTGAGGCTCTTCAGCAGGTTGTCCTCCGTCAGCTCGGGCAGGTTGCACAGGTCGTCCACGTCGGCCTGTGGGGGCGGCAGGAGGCCACGCTGCACCAGGCGGCGGGCAGCCGCGGCCTGAGCCACCAGGGGCGAGTGCACGTGCTGGATGGCGCCATCGGCGCTGCGCTCCTGCAGCAGGAAGTAGTAGCCGTCCTCCCGTGGGTGCTCAGCCTGCGCCCGCCGTGGCCACAGCAGCACGCGGTGCACGGGCGCATCGCTGGCGTCCAGCACCCACTCCTCGCCGCCCGCCTCCTTCACCTCCGCCAGTGCGTAGCACTTGCTGCCGTCCAGCCGCAGCCGGGCCACGGCCTCGCGGATGACCTCGGCCGTGGTGCTGTCCTTGGCGGCTGGCACGCAGCACGAGGCCGGGCCGGGCGTCCAGGACAGCTGCGGGTAGATGCACAGGCCGTAGGTGCCCTGCTCCTGGCGGCCCGCCGCCTCGCTCGCACTCATCCTGCTGCCCGCGGGGCCTCCGCATGCCGCCCGGGCCTGGGCGCGCGCCGGCTCCTGCAGCTGCAAGGGAGGACAAGTCAGGCAAGGTTCCCCGCACACGGCAGACCCACTGTGTGACCCAACCACCAGCTGCGAGCGAGCAGCGCCAAGCAGGGCCCCAGCCCCCAGCTGCGTCTCCCCCTCCTGAGCGGTACTGTGGGTGGAACCCAGGGTCTGCACACTGAGCCCACCCCCATCCCTTCTGTACCTGTTATTCCGAGACAGTCGCACTAAGCTGCCCAGGCTGGGCTTAAGCCTGTGACCCTCCTGCCCCAGGCTCCCAGACTGCTGGGACTAGAGGTGTGCACCCCCACACCCAGCTGCCTCCTTAAATGTTTTCGTTTTGGTGCAGACTCAGTTGCCCAGACTAGCCTCGAACTTGCAACCCTTCAGCCTCAGCCTTCTGAGTCACCAATCAGTCCCACTCGCTGCGCCCAGGCCTTCTGTCCTCAGTGGTGCCTCTGACCCAAACGCCGTGGCTCTCGGGGCCAGTGACATCGTTAGGCACCCCTGACCAAGCCCTCCACCTCAGCGGGCCCCGCCGGGCCCCCATCCCCCTGCGTTCCTTCTGGCCTGTCCTCGCGGCCTGGGCAGGACCAGAGCCATGACAGCTCCCCACTGCTGCCAGAGGACAGGCCAGGGGCGGCCTGCGACGTGGGGCCACGGTCGGGTCCTCGCTGTCCCCAGCCGGGGTGGTGCGGCCGAGACGCCAGAGCCGCCCTGGTCAGGGAGGGTTAGGGTCGTCCTCAGAGCCCTCAGCCCCGTGCTCCAGGCCAGGCGCCCGCAGGAGACGGCCAGGAAGGGACCCGCTGTACCGCTCTACCTTTGAGCTGCTCGAAGTGTGCACACCGAGCCGGAGCCAGGCCGAGACCTGCTCTGCACGCGCCCACCTCCGAGTCACACAACCAGCCCTGGAGGAGCTGACCAGTGAAGCTCGCCTGGCCTCTGAGGGCTTCAGGAGAGGGCGAATGCAAGCAGCGCTGCCCACTAAGGTCAAACGGGGACCGGGATCGGGTCCCACGTGCGGGGCGAGGCGAGGCGGCTGAGAAACAAAGGCAAGCAGAGCTTGTCTCAGCCTAGTGGGTAAGGCTGGCAGGTCACCAAACACGGGCATGCGTCCAGTGCAGCCCCAGGTGACACACGGCCCAGGTAATCATCCTATGCGACTGGAATGGAAACACCTCCGAGGAGTTCTGAAGGAGGAAGAGGAGTTCGCTCCTAAGGTGGGCAAGGTGAAGGTGGAGGGTGTGACAAGGCCTTCGCTGGTTTTAACAGATGCAGCCGTCCTGGGGCAGCCTGTGGCTGTGCTGCCATGACAGCAGGGTCGAATACGCAGTCCTAGCAGAGACGGGAAGGCTCGGAAGCCCAGGATGTTTGCCACACAGCCCTGTGCGGGGAGGGCTCTCGACCTGTGGCCTAGCAGAAGTGTGACTCAGTGTCATGAGCCCATGGGCCGGGGCCACCAGGGGCCAGCGGGGAGGGGTGAGGTGGGAGCAGCCAGAGCAGGAGCAGCCGGCGGTGGGGGGGGGCGGCAGGAGGGTGAGGCTCTGCCTCCCCCTCCCCCGAAAGACCCAGTGCTTCCACTTCCGAGTGGTGCCCAGTGCAGCACCGCCTGCCGCCTCCTTACGGAGGAGCTGGGCTGAGACCCACGCCTGGCGCAGGGCAGCTCCCCCTGCAGACGCCCCGTGGACAGGGAGGGGCGCTCAGCCACTCCTGCACCTGACACGCAGTGTGGATGCTGCACCCCCACAGGCCAACGGCCTCGCTGCTTTGTTCCTCGCTCATCGTTTAAAGAACTGCTCATTTATTTTTATTTTTAGTGTGAGACAGGGTCTCGCTAAGTCGCCACACTGCCCAGGCTGAGCTCACACTGGCTGCCTCCTGCCTCAGCCTCCCGATGCCAGGACCACAGGCGTGGCCGGCCGCCCGCCCTCCCTCTCCACTGGCTCAGCAGTCACCCAGGGCACGCACCTTCCCAGCCTTTCTGAGCAGCGCCCCATCGGCCCTCCCAGAGGGCATGCCGCAAACACGAGCACGGGTCAGTCCGGGCCTAAGCAGCCCTGTCACCCTGCAGGGCCCCCTCGGGCAGGGAGGACACACACCCCAGGAGCGCTCGGAGAGCTGGACACCATGCCGAGGCAATGCAGCAGCCAGAAGCCCCAGAGGAACAGTTGGTAGGACCCAGTGACCCCTCCCGGGCTCCAGACCCCAAAGCCCTGAGAAGAGGGCCGCAGACCCCGGCACACAAATGCCCACAGCAAGGGTGGGACAAACTGAGTGTCCATCAATGTCGCTTGACAAACAGGACGCGGAATATTATTCAGCCATGAAAAGGAAACGCTGCCACATGCCACAGTGCAGACGAACTGAAAACAGGATGGCAGTGAAAGTGGCAGGCACAAAGCTGCGCTGTGCGACGCCACTGCGGCAGAAGGTCCAGACCGGCGAATCCACAAAGCTGGCCACAGGCTCCCACCCTGCACCCGCACCCTGCTGCAGCTCCCGGGTTTGCTCTTCAAACCTGAAACCTAGGTTTCAGGCTTCATCTGTGTGCCGGGGAAGGGCAGGCGAGGGGAGGTGTGGATGCACCAGTCCCCCAGCTCCAGGGAGGACGCGGCCCAAGCTTGTGCAGGCCCTGCCCCCCACAGCCCACCCTCCTGCACCACGGGGCCGTCGTGCCCTGAGGGAAGGCTCACGGTGATGGCTCAGGGCGACACCTGCGGACGCCAGACAGGGGACAGACCTGCGCCCCCAGAACAGTGCAAGCATCTCTCTCGGAAGGAGACACCGGGCTCTGCTGGCTTCCGCACACTCCCCCCACCAGGGCCTGAAGTCAGCCGTGCGAGGCTGAGCTCTGTGCCACAGGCGGATGTGACGTCTGTACCTGGAGCCCCAGCCGGAGCGGGAACCAGAGAGCGGGGCTGGGACTCGGAACAGGAGCCCTGGCAAACTGTCTTAGCCTGACTCGCATCCATCACGTCACTGCCTGTGCCAGAGCTAACACACGCGACCCACCCTCAGCCACCTCGGGCACATGTGACGCCAACAGGAAGTAAGGCACATCCTCAAACTCCAGGGTGACCCGACCAAGGACTCACAAAAACCACCTCCTCATCACCACACAAAAATCCAACTAGTCTCCTAGAAAGTCCCAGGAGACAGCTCTGAGATAAAGCACACACAGTGCTGGTGGGTGGATAAAGGATAAAGACAGTGGTGGGGTCATCTGCCCAGCGGAATACTATGCAGCCATGAAGAGGAAAGCTGCTCTGAGCCATGCAACTGAACCTTGAGAACAGGGAAACAGCAAAAGCAGCCAACAGCCACAATGGCATGGGATGTGGCCACTCACAGGGCATGCATGTCCAGGCAGGGGGGCGTGGGGAGGGAGAGGGTGACCCTCACAGGCACTGGGCTGTCCTTGAGGGCAGGAACGTTCTGCAGCCAGACAGAGTCCCAGTCTACCTGTGGAGAATCCATGTCCCCGATGGTCAAGCTTACGTCAAATGTGCAACCGCAGTGACCACCAGAACGGCTCTAAAACCGGAGCGTGACAAACCGCAAGGCTCTGCGGCTGCAGCCTGGCTACCTCCGCTCCTGAGTCCAGGGCAGCTTCTCCGCCCACTCCAGGTGCTGGGCCCGGTTCTGGGGCTGGTCTGCAGGCTTGGAGGGGCAGGCGCACATGCCAGGGCATTGACCTGGATGGCGGTCATCACCTGCGGGGCCCGAGGGGGCCGCTGCATGGTCCCTGCTGGCTCTGTCCGCCTTGACCCTGAGGTACGGGGTCCCCGACTGGTGAGCAGGGGCACCCAGGGCACAGAGCGGACTCCTGCCGAGGCCGTGTCCCAGGTGCCTCCCGGACAGGGACACTGTGGGACCTGAAACTCCTAGTGGGAAGAGTCAGTGAGGCGCACTGCGTCTGTCGCTGGGCGTGGTGGCGCACACCCTGAACCCAGCATTTGGAGGCTGAGGCAGGAGGATCCCTGCAAGTCGGAGGCTAGCCCAGGTGTCTCAAACAACAAACAAAACCCTGGGTCCCTAGGGTGAGATCATAAAGACAGCCCTGCAAGGGGCCTGACCAGCGCCCTGGGGTTCAAGGCCACCCCTGACCTCAGCGTGGGACCTTGCTTGGAAGCAGGGTCTGCAGGTGCCACAGTGGGAAGAGGCACGAGGGCTCCCAGCTGGGCTGTGGGGGAGGGGTGCAAACCGGCCAGGGGCTTCCGGGGGAGACCCAGTCCCGGGGCGGTTTACGCGCCCCCCACACCCCCCGCCTGTGACCCTTGCTGACGGCAGCCCCGGGCCCCATTCCCAGCACCCAGCAGCAGAGACAGGGAAGCTGTGTGCAGCTGCCACCCCGGGCCTTGAACCTGGCTGTCTGAGCCTGGCCTCGCTCCCCCAGGCCACGCTCGCGTGGTCTGAGCCCCAGCATCTCGGGGACACCTCCGCCCACCAGGTGTGTGCAGGCCACCACAGCCAGCACCAGGGTCTCCACCTCTCACCCGGCCATGTCCCCTCGAGGCTGTCGTCTTCACACCTCCGACCACTGAGTGTCCCTCTGGTCCACACCTGGGCCAGTGGACGCAAAGGGGGCCAGGGCAGACCAACCACAGGCGGCGGCGTTTCCACAGCTGCTCCGTGCCCCCGGGAAGCCCAGCGCCCTCACACTCTGCTGCCACTGCAGGGCGGGGTCTGCTGTGTCCAGTAGGTGGGGGCCAGGGACAGAGACTCCCGAGGACGGGGCTGGGGGGACAAAGCGGCTGCTGGGAAGCTGGACGTGCTGGGGCTTGGGGACAGCGGCCAGCGAGGCCCGGGGACCAGGAGCCCAGGGTGGCTGGCGTGGCAGCCCAGAGGCCAGGAGCAGCCCGGGCTGCAGGGAGGGGACACCAGGGTGTCACTGGCTATGAGCATGTGGACCTGGGGACAGATCCCCAGGGTCAGCTCCACACACGCGGCGGCCGGGGGGTGAGCAGAAGAAACCCTGTGACTCCTCCAGGCCACCACCCGCCACCGCCACCAAGCCC